AATAAGGCACATACCTGGAGTTTACACACGGGCAACAGTAAGGCGTCTTTATTCAAAAACGTTTCGCCTACACAGTAGGCTTCTTCAGTCGAGTACAGAAAGTAGGCAGGAGCAGTAGAGATGTGAAGACGATGTAATCAGTCCATCACCCTTGAAGACATAGATTTGAGGTTGTCAGTCCCTCAGCCTGGAGAAGAGTTCTGTTCCATAGCTTGAAACGATGTGAATATCAAGTGACAATGTGGAGACTTACATACTGTCGGAAGGAGAGGTGTAGAGTAGAAGAATAAAGAATGTAAACACTGAGAGATCACGTCCCTCTCAGATCCAACAATTCTCACTTGAAAAAATTGCCCAAGGTGTTTTCTGTACCAGGATGCCATTGTGTTAGTGTCTGACAGAATATGAAAATGGTATACAATATTGACAGGTTGGTAAGTAATAAACATACACAACTCTTCTCACTTTTTCAAGTGAGACATGGTTGGACCTGAGAGGGACTTGGCCTCTCAGTGATTACATTCTTTCTTCTTCTACTATACACCTCTCCTTCCGAAAGTATACAAGTCTCCACAGTCGCTCTCTTGATCTTCACATTGTTCCAGGCTATGGAACAGAACTCTTCTCCAGGCTGAGGGACTGACAACCTTAAATCTACATCTTCAAGGGTGATGGACTGATTATATCGTCTTAACATCTTTACTGCTCCTGCCTACTTTCTGTACTCAACTGAGGAAGTCTGTAGGTGAAACGTTTCGGAATATAGTTGCCTAGCTGTTGCCTATGTGTCTTACTAGCACATTTGACTGACTGGAACCCACATGAAAAGAAAATAGGGAACTGAAAAAAAATGCAGTCATAGAAGAGGAGAGAAGGGGAGATAAGAAAGTAGACAGCAATTCTTAGACCTGCTGGTTGCTTAGTTGAAGAGTAGCAATATTTGACGACTAGTAAACATAAGAGTTTTCCAGAAGAAAATTTTGGAAATATTTTAATAAGTAAGAGAAGAAAGACTGGAACAAGGAGGAAGGAACGCTAACCAATGCTGATAAAGCCGAAGGAGTCTGTAAAAATATTAGGGGAACACTTTAATGGCCGGTGATAATGAATGGAACACAAGAAGGGGCAGAGGAAATACGAAGAAAGAAAATAGATAACTACTATAGATGGTGACAAGAGGCAGGAAGGCACAAGGGATGCTTAGAGAAGACAGACATCCATCGCATGACTGCTAGCATGGTAATCTTGTAGGAAGATAATGGGGAGGTAGAAAGAGGCCGATGATAATTTATTGGCTTCGGGAAGTTGATGGTTGGTCAGGGAGATAAAGGAAGATAAAGAACAACAGACTGTAGATAGCACTGAACATTGAGCAGAGAAAGTATTATTCCAGAAATCATTGAATATTGATGAAAGTTTTATTTCAGAGATCATTGAACATTAAGGAGAGAAAGTTTTATTCCAGAGATCATTGAATATTGAAGAGAAAGTTTTATTCCGGAGATCATTGAATATTGAAGAGAAAGTTTTATTCCGGAGATCATTGAGCATTCAGGAAAGAAAGCATTATTCCGGATGGAAAGTTTTCATAGGGCCAGTTTTCTTCGAGGCAAATGATGCCTGATTACAACAGCTTTCTTTTGAGAAGTAGCTCAAGGCAGGATCTCGAGAGAGAAAACTTTCTTGAGAAGCACAAGGAGATATCACCATGAATATTTGGATTGGGACAGAACAGAAATGGAGAGAGAGAATAGTGGAAGGAGCATGAGGGAAAAAAACATCAAATTTCGTCAGAAGCTAAAGAGAAGGAGTATCCAGCCTCCAGAAATATCTCAAGGCTGCCTTCCCTGCCCAGCTCTCAGTAAGCCCATCTCTAGGCCTACCCTCATTTCCCTTTAAAAGAACAAAAATCTCAATAGCATGCAAATGGAATAATTAACAAGAATGATGAATACAAAGAGAAAGAATGCCTAGTGCAACCACAGGTGCAACAGCTGTCACAGAGACAAAACCAATTTGAAAGATAACAGATGCAATATTCCCAGCAGGATATTAAGTAATGGGGAAAAGAAAGAGGTAACAGAAAAGAAAGAGAAGTGGCACTGCTAAGAAGAAATCAATAGAGTTTTGAGGCAGTTGGAAAGATAAATAGAAATAAGCCAAATGATTTTTTAGTGGGCATAACCAAAACTTGGGGAGCCAAAGTAGTATTAACAGTAATTTATATCCTACTACCAAATAGCAGCAGACCACCACCTACAACTAGCCAGCTGCTAACACCACAGTGGGCATATAAAAAAAATATGAACGAAGCACAACAACTTAACCAGGGAAAATTTTCGCCGAAAACAAAAAGACGGACTCGGGCAGAAGACTAGGAACATGGAAGGTTAGACGATGGAGTTGGTGGTTGAAGATTTGATGTCAGCATTATAGGGACACAAGAAGGAAAAGATGGAAGATGTGATAAACCAGCAAGACTGGATGAAGTATATACCATCACTGCATTTGATGTAGGCAAAACAAAATATGATTTTCGAACAACTTGTGGAAGTAAACATCGAGGGAAGACTAGCAGAGAGAACAGCTTTCAGAGACAAACTATGCAAGGATGAGAGATTTCCTAAATGTAGTCTAATAGTACACGAACTGGAAGAAAAGTCAATGACTTAGATAATGAAATGCCTAGTTGAAATGTACCAGGAGGCAGAGGAGGACTGTATACCTGGAAGAAGAAATGCTGGTAGCAACAGTGATACAAAGAAGAACAGTCAGATGACCGACAACATGGAAGAACTTTTGAAAGCGCAGGACAGAAGAAAACAGGGGAAGCATTTGAAAATTCCAGAAACATTCTCACAGGTGAGGAAAAAAAGCCAACTCAACCAAAATTTCTTCTTAAGAAAGACGAGGGTAGAAGTCCTAGTAAATACTAATGAAAGGAGGAGGAGAGTTCACGAGAACCAAAAAGTTTGCCAAGAGTTGAATAAATGATTTGAAGAGGTGTTCTTAAAGGAAACAGTGGCAGCGCGAGATAGTAAAGGAGTTAGAGCGCACTAACGGCCTCATACACAACAGGGTAAACAAACACTTTAGTGAACTTGATGCTTCAGACACTTAGACCTGGGAAAGTGTCACCTAAGATTCTACTGTGTAAAGTAATGGAGATGATAATCATATATAAAAACCAGCGGAGGTTTAGAGAAGGCGAATCTTGTCTTACACAAACCTGCTTGATTTATATAACAAGGTAATTAGAATGTCTGGGCAACATGGTGGACTGCAAGACGGCATTTGACACACTACCTCACGAAGGTCTGCGATAAAACTCAAGAAGTAGACAGAGTAGCAGAGTCTTGAAGAACAGGAGGAGAATGAGGTATTCAGTCCTTCAACCTTGAGTCGATGTGGTCAGTCCATCAATCCTGATGGACTGACCACATCGGCTCAAGGTTGAAGGACTGATTACCTCATTCTCCTCATGTTCTTCAAGATTCTCCTTTGTATGGACTGATGAAGCCACTGTGTGGCGAAACGTTTCCTCATTAAAGATACCCAAGAGTTGCACATGTGTCTAATTTATCAACATGTCGGTTCTCTGAACCATTCATCTACAAAGAGTAGCAGAGTTTGAGCAACAGTAAATGAAGCAATACCTAATGGGAGGGCAGCAAAGAGTGATTGTTTCAGAAGAGAGTTTAGGATTACTAAGAGCCACAAGAGAGGTTCCACAAAGATGTGTATTGGGACCGACGCTATCTGGTGTAATAACAAACCAGTCAGATGTATCTCTGCAGATAATGTGAAAGTAATGAAGAGATGAAAACAGATGGCGAGAAAAAGGCTGCAAATGAATCCTGAGAAACTGTTATCTTTTTAAGGTTATGAAAATTAACGAAGAGGAAAGAAGACCGGAAAATGAGTATAGGCTCTGTAAGCAGAGACAGCAAACCTTAATTATGGGGACCATAAATGTGAGTTTAGTACCAATTATACAGCCAGAGGTGCCCATCAACCTAATAGTTTGTAGCTAATGGGTTATTAATAGGTTTAAAATTAGTTTCAGGAATCTCAGAGTCATGCAGAGCCCTCTATTCAGTACTACATTTCAAACTCATCTTGAAAAAAATCAGCATCAGTATGAAACATGTCAAGAAGCTGAAAAAAAAATGCAAAAGACTAGTTCTGGAGCAGAGAGGAATAAACTATGATAAGAGACTAATGAAACTGAACCTAGCGTCTTTAGAGATAAAGATTTATTATTATAATCAAGGGGGAAGCGCTAAACCCGGAGGATTATACAGCGCCTGGGGGGGGGATGTGGAAGGCATTCAGGCTTAATTTGGGGAACTGGAGCACAGATCCAGTTCCCTAAATCAAGAGCCCCTCACCAACATCAAGGAACCTTCCTTGAGGGGTTAGAGATAAAGAACCAGGAGAGATATGACAAAAAAAGCTCGGTGAACAGGAAGGCCGGATAGGAATAATGTGTTGATGAAGCAGAAACAGACGTACAGCAGCACAGTGTGATGTTGAAGACATACAGGAATTATGGAGATGCCAGAAAGTATTCTTCAGATTTTAGGTGGTCAGAATGTGGAAAATTACCAGGACGAAGAAACCGTGGAAGCAGACTCCATACCTTAAAGAATAAAGAAGCACAATGCAGTGACTGGAACAATACACAAATAACCCGCACATACGAGAGAAGCTTACGACGATGTTTCAGTCCGACTTGGACCATTTACAAAGTCATACTGTGACTTTGTAAATGGTCCAAGTCGAACCGAAACGTCGTCATAAGCTTCTCTCTAAGTGTGCGGGTTATTTGTGTATTGCTTCATACGTAATTTTAAAACAGGAAAATGAAAGCTGAAAGGCGAGAATAGGAGGGAGTAAATCTTAGCCCCTGCAGAGCCTAGGAGGGCCAGGAGCTAAGACTCAAACCATTGAACCGCGAATATGTGATTATGAATAGGTGAGTACAAAGAGAGACTCACCGAGTTGGTAGAGTTAGCCAGGAGAGTGTTGGTGTTAGGTTCATACAGCTCGAGCATGAAGGTCTGGGGGAGACCACCGTCAAATCCAGCTACACAGCGCACGTTCACCATCTCCACTGACAGGTTGTACGTGGAACAGTTGTGTACGGGGTCAGGTTTACCTGCGGGGAAAACGGGATGTACATGGAACAGTTGTGCAGGGGTCAGGTCTGTCTACAGTAAGAGATGTTTTGGCCATGGAACAGTTGCTCACTGGGTCAGGTTTACCTGCGGGGAAACAGAGATTTTACGTACAAGTGTTGCGCATTGGGACAGGATTATCTGCAGGGAAACACACGTCGTATATGGAACAGTTATACTGGGGCTCAGGGTTGCCTATTTGGGGTATCAACTTTTCTGTACTCGACTGAAGAAGCCTACTGTGTAGGCGAAACGTTTCGAAATAAAGATACCTAACTGTTGCATATGTGTCTTACCTAACAACCTGTCGGTATTTTATACCATTTTAATGTTCAATCCTTGTAATCAAGTTGCCAGGTGAAACACCAGTTAAGAATACAACCGATGTTCTTGGTTTCCATCTTAAGTTTTGCAACCCCTAAAAAATGTAATGTGGAAGTTGCAAAAGTATCTTGCAACTTGGAAAACTCTGCTGGTTTATAAATTGATGAAATCAGTATGGTTTATAGTTTCATGGTAAAATAAAGTACTCCTGAGCCCTTGATCCAAGGAACATGATTACGCACAAATCCTCAGATGCTCTACGACCATAGGTGCAAGTTTCTCAGGTACGGACAACGTCCATACCTGAAGAACCATAAATAAAATATACAAAGTTGAAACATTTAAGAGAGTTGTGTGGAAACTCGATAAGACTGCTACTGACTGAGTGATGGTCAATGTTTCCTTCTTGAAATCTTTCTGCCTTAGTGGTTAATAAAGGCCAGTGGCTGATTCCTTGACTCGCTCTACCTTGATGGGAGACACAACATGTGGAACAAACATTTGAGAGAGTACAGAGACTGTTTTAACTCACATTTCACCCTGAGCTTGATGGGGCTCGACTGTCCGTCACCCTCGATGTTAGAGGCGACGCAGGAGTAGTGACCTGACGCAGATTTTTCCACACGCTGTAGTACCAGACTCTGGTTGCTGATAATTACCCCAGCAGATACGTTGTGTTGTAGCTCCTGGCCCTGTAGAGGTGTGACAATTATTATTTGTTGTAGCTCATGGCCCTGTAGAAGAACTTGGTTAATATTAACAGAGACAGCGAAACGGTTATGTTCTAGCTCCCGGCCCTCTATAACTAAGTGTGAGCGTTAACTTTCACAACTGGATTGTTAGTGTTTGTTGTGGTAGCAAGTTCAAGCCTTAATGTTGATCTGTTCTGTAGCATATGAGAGACGAGGATCTTCTGGTTATTAACTCAGGATGGATGCTTATTTGGCCCAGGATTGTTACTGACCCAGGATGATTATTAACCCAGGATAATCATGAACTCATCATTATTAACTATGGAATGTTATTAACTCAGAATAGTTATTAGTCCATAATGTTTATTAACCCAAAATGGTTAACGTCTCCGGATAAGAAATGAGAGTCGAGCAGTGCAAGTTGTTTCCACTGTTATCTATACATCCACGGCAGAGGTTGACAAACTACCTCCAACTAACTCCAGTATCTTTATTTACATACATCCTTCCTCAACAATTGCCAAGGTTAATTTGTGGAAGATTAAAGCCAGTTTTCCTAAAATCCAGGTACTAAGTTCTGCCACTGGAGGAACAAGATACGGCATGATGTGAGGTGAATTCTCACACACACCAGAATTCAAATTCAAATTCAAATTCAAAGTTTATTCTCTATAAGGAGAAAGAGCATTGGCCGATCGCTCTCAATTTGACAGACACTAGCACGTAAACCTAATTAAAAAAATATATTTAGAAACTACATCCTGGACGGGATCCCATGTGAAGCAGATCCAGCTTGCATAACAGGGCTGCGTTTTACACTAATACATCGCAGTTTAAGTTATTAAAATAAATTAATCATATCCAGGAAAAAAAAATCCCTCCACCTCTTCCACGCCTTCCTATGGTGTCGCAGTATGTGAACGCTCCACACCACAACCATCGTCACTCATAACACCAGACACAGCCTCAGTAATCACTACGATAGTGAAGTTTACCACTCTTGTCACCAAACATTTTGATACTGATTTCCACGCAACATATTTAGGTTTCAAAAAATTTAACATGTGATCATATTTGTGGTGGAACCGTGACTCAACCTTGAGTATTCGTTGCCTGTATTCGAACTGGCGACAATATCTATTTCTAATTCCAAATAAATGGACTTGAAGTCCAAGATATCTGCATCTTGCTCCTGGCTCGGTCTGGGTGCTCACTGAGGGACTGAGGATCGCCTCAGTGGTTCCGAATAATACATTGGGCATTGTTGTACAATTCTTCATTCTTTACTACAGTTGAATATCTCTGTGTAATCCAGAGCTCATCCCAATGAATGCAATGCAATTCCATTACCTTTCCATGAGAAAACGAAGTCCCCCACAGGACTGAGTCAGTAAAAGAAACAAAGTCCTAATGGAACCAGAACAGAGGCTGGGATCACACGGGATTGACCCCTCAGAAATTAAGCCTCGGTGCAGCCAGCATGGCGTCCACACAAGGCTGAGCAGCTAGAAACTAAGTTCAAACATATCTATCACAGTAGCTAAGTCAACAATGTAGTTAAATACTACAGAGTCTACCTGGACGTAAGATCAACACTCGACTGCCAGAAACGAGGTATACCTGCTTGGATGGAACTTATTAAGCCGGCATGATACAGTAATTAGAGCACTGGCAGGCTAATTCAAAACCTGGTTGGCCATAAGTTCGAATCCTGTTCATTCCATTATTTGTTTACAATCCTGTTGTTTCCTTACCATGATTCATCAGTAACTCAGGATGTATGGTCACAGTGTAGCTCCTACAAGGCTCTCTAGTCTATACAAATATACCAAGTTTTATTTGTGAAAGTTTTATTTGTTACTTTTATTTAAAAAAATGTTTTCTCTTCAGTAACTAAAGAATACTTCATCGGTGTACATTAGATAGATTTTTAATTAATTTTAGACAGTATAAATGTTAAATTACCATCATAAACGAAGAAATTTGAAAATTTAAATAGTTTTTATGTAATTATTATTGAATGCCTCTTCAGATTGATTTCAACCTTTCAGTGCTGATGTTTCTTACACAGAGGATTTTTATTAGTCTGTGTAGGTGTCGAGTTGCAAACTTTTATTTCAGGTTCCCTGACTGTCCTTGTCTGGCATCTTAAGACGCCTGCTGAGTGAAGTTAAAAAACTTCGAAGAAACTGAAAATATTGGAAAAAAGGGCGTTTTTATGGCATTTTTAAGCTGCACAAATTTGGTAAACCGTTAAACACTGTTTTTCATACTGTTTTATAAGGAAAATGGTTATAAACTCTTGTACATTTTTCCTTTATGATTAACATATACAACATAGGTAGTAGGTTGGTAGACAGCAACCACCCAGGGAAGTACTACCGTCCTGCCAGATGACTGTGAAACAAAAACCTGTAACTGTTTTGCATGATGGTAGGATTGCTGGTTTCTTTTTCTGTCTCATAAACACGCTAGATAACAGGGATATCTTGCTACTCCTACTTACACTTTGGTCACACTTCACAGACACGCACATGCATATATATATATACATACATCTAGGTTTTTCTCCTTTTTCTAAATAGCTCTTGTTCTTTTTTATTTCTTCTATTGTCCATGGGGAAGTGGAAAAGAATCTTTCCTCCGTAAGCCATGCGTGTCGTATGAGGCGACTAAAATGCCGGGAGCAATGGGCTAGTAACCCCTTCTCCTGTATACATTTACTAAAAAAGAGAAGAAGAAAAACTTTTATAAAATTGGGATGCTTAAATGTGCGTGGATGTTGTGCGGATGACAAGAAACAGATGATTGCTGATGTTATGAATGAAAAGAAGTTGGATGTCCTGGCTCTAAGCGAAACAAAGCTGAAGGGGGTAGGAGAATTTCAGTGGGGGGAAATAAATGGGATTAAATCTGGAGTATCTGAGAGAGTTAGAGCAAAGGAGGGGTAGCAGTAATGTTAAATGATCAGTTATGGAAGGAGAAAAGAGAATATGAGTGTGTAAATTCAAGAATTATGTGGATTAAAGTAAAGGTTGGATGCGAGAAGTGGGTCATAATAAGCGTGTATGCACCTGGAGAAGAGAGGAATGCAGAGGAGAGAGAGAGATTTTGGGAGATGTTAAGTGAATGTATAGGAGCCTTTGAACCAAGTGAGAGAGTAATTGTGGTAGGGGACCTGAATGCTAAAGTAGGAGAAACTTTTAGAGAGGGTGTGGTAGGTGTAAATGATAATGGGAGCCCTTTGGTTGAACTTTGTATAGAAAGGGGTTTAGTTATAGGTAATACATATTTTAAGAAAAAGAGGATAAATAAGTATACACGATATGATGTAGGGCGAAATGACAGTAGTTTGTTGGATTATGTATTGGTAGATAAAAGACTGTTGAGTAGACTTCAGGATGTACATGTTTATAGAGGGGCCACAGATATATCAGATCACTTTCTAGTTGTAGCTACACTGAGAGTAAAAGGTAGATGGGATACAAGGAGAATAGAAGCATCAGGGAAGAGAGAGGTGAAGGTTTATAAACTAAAAGAGGAGGCAGTTAGGGTAAGATATAAACAGCTATTGGAGGATAGATGGGCTAATGAGAGCATAGGCAATGGGGTCGAAGAGGTATGGGGTAGGTTTAAAAATGTAGTGTTAGAGTGTTCAGCAGAAGTTTGTGGTTACAGGAAAGTGGGTGCAGGAGGGAAGAGGAGTGATTGGTGGAATGATGATGTAAAGAGAGTAGTAAGGGAGAAAAAGTTAGCATATGAGAAGTTTTTACAAAGTAGAAGTGATGCAAGGAGGGAAGAGTATATGGAGAAAAAGAGAGAGGTTAAGAGAGTGGTGAAGCAATGTAAAAAGAGAGCAAATGAGAGGGTGGGTGAGATGTTATCAACAAATTTTGTTGAAAATAAGAAAAAGTTTTGGAGTGAGATTAACAAGTTAAGAAAGCCTAGAGAACAAATGGATTTGTCAGTTAAAAATAGGAGAGGAGAGTTATTAAATGGAGAGTTAGAGGTATTGGGAAGATGGAGGGAATATTTTGAGGAATTGTTAAATGTTGATGAAGATAGGGAAGCTGTGATTTCGTGTATAGGGCAAGGAGGAATAACATCTTGTAGGAGTGAGGAAGAGCCAGTTGTGAGTGTGGGGGAAGTTCGTGAGGCAGTAGGTAAAATGAAAGGGGGTAAGGCAGCCGGGATTGATGGGATAAAGATAGAAATGTTAAAAGCAGGTGGGGATATAGTTTTGGAGTGGTTGGTGCAATTATTTAATAAATGTATGGAAGAGGGTAAGGTACCTAGGGATTGGCAGAGAGCATGCATAGTTCCTTTGTATAAAGGCAAAGGGGATAAAAGAGAGTGCAAAAATTATAGGGGGATAAGTCTGTTGAGTGTACCTGGTTAAAGTGTATGGTAGAGTTATAATTGAAAGAATTAAGAGTAAGACGGAGAATAGGATAGCAGATGAACAAGGAGGCTTTAGGAAAGGTAGGGGGTGTGTGGACCAGGTGTTTACAGTGAAACATATAAGTGAACAGTATTTAGATAAGGCTAAAGAGGTCTTTGTGGCATTTATGGATTTGGAAAAGGCGTATGACAGGGTGGATAGGGGGGCAATGTGGCAGATGTTGCAAGTGTATGGTGTAGGAGGTAGGTTACTGAAAGCAGTGAAGAGTTTTTACGAGGATAGTGAGGCTCAAGTTAGAGTATGTAGGAAAGAGGGAAATTTTTTCCCAGTAAAAGTAGGCCTTAGACAAGGATGTGTGATGCCACCGTGGTTGTTTAATATATTTATAGATGGGGTTGTAAGAGAAGTAAATGCAGGGTCTTGGCAAGAGGCGTGGAGTTAAAAGATAAAGAATCACACACAAAGTGGGAGTTGTCACAGCTGCTCTTTGCTGATGACACTGTGCTCTTGGGAGATTCTGAAGAGAAGCTGCAGAGATTGGTGGATGAATTGTAGGGTGTGCAAAAGAAGAAAATTAAAGGTGAATACAGGAAAGAGTAAGGTTATGAGGATAACAAAAAGATTAGGTGATGAAAGATTGAATATCAGATTGGAGGGAGAGAGTATGGAGGAGGTGAACGTATTCAGATATTTGGAGTGGACGTGTCAGCGGATGGGTCTATGAAAGATGAGGTGAATCATAGAATTGATGAGGGAAAAAGAGTGAGTGGTGCACTTAGGAGTCTGTGGAGACAAAGAACTTTGTCCTTGGAGGCAAAGAGGGGAATGTATGAGAGTATAGTTTTTACCAACGCTCTTATATGGGTGTGAAGCGTGGGTGATGAATGTTGCAGCGAGGAGAAGGCTGGAGGCAGTGGAGATGTCATGTCTGAGGGCAATGTGTGGTGTGAATATAATGCAGAGAATTCGTAGTTTGGAAGTTAGGAGGAGGTGCGGGATTACCAAAACTGTTGTCCAGAGGGCTGAGGAAGGGTTGTTGAGGTGGTTCGGACATGTAGAGAGAATGGAGCGAAACAGAATGACTTCAAGAGTGTATCAGTCTGTAGTGGAAGGAAGGCGGGGTAGGGGTCGGCCTAGGAAGGGTTGGAGGGAGGGGGTAAAGGAGGTTTTGTGTGCGAGGGGCTTGGACTTCCAGCAGGCATGCGTGAGCGTGTTTGATAGGAGTGAATGGAGACAAATGGTTTTTAATACTTGACGTGCTGTTGGAGTGTGAGCAAAGTAACATTTATGAAGGGATTCAGGGAAACCGGCAGGCCGGACTTGAGTCCTGGAGATGGGAAGTACAGTGCCTGCACTCTGAAGGAGGGGTGTTAATGTTGCAGTTTAAAAACTGTAGTGTAAAGCACCCTTCTGGCAAGACAGTGATGGAGCGAATGATGGTGAAAGTTTTTCTTTTTCGGGCCACCCTGCCTTGGTGGGAATCGGCCAGTGTGATAATAATAATAAAAAAAAAAATATACAACATCAGAACGCCTGGTCCAATCGGTTTCAAATTTTCAGCACTGGTGACATAATGCAACTAATAGGAAGAACAAGTGCACTTTCCTCAGTGATATGAAACCATTCATGATTTTGGTTTCTGTGCGATAACTTGAGAAAACCTCTTCTGATCGGCATCAAACTTTGAACTTTGGTTCTCTCAACACAGAAGACGGTTTGGTTATTATTGTAGTCTTTAGATGTTAATTTTATACTCTCATTTTTTTTAAAACAATGTGGTATTTATTTTTCGTAAAATAACTTGGTATGGCTCATCAAAACAAATTAAATTGTTAATGTCTGATGAACTTTGTAAAAAGAGTAACATCCTCTAAGATTTAGATTTACTAAATAACTTAATAAACTTGGAATTGTTTGAGTACACCTCATCAGATGGTCATTATTGTTCAGCGGTGGCAGGATGTGCTCACTGCTTGTTGCATATTGCAATTGGGATGGTAAATTTTATTTTGCTAATTTTCTAATTTTAATAATGCAAGCAGGGGATCTTAACACTGCAGAAACACTACTTGAGAATGTATATCTTTAGCTTCAGATCTTTCACACTCGTGCATCGTCAGGAGTTTTGCAGTGTTGCAAGACTTGTAACATATAGGAGGGGAAATCCTCTCTGAGACAACGCAGAAGAGTATTAGCTAAGTGCAATTGTGAGAGCTGGTATTATCAGATAATTCTGTCTCCACAGTATTATCAGAGTACACTGCATGATACACAGTACACTGTGTATCGTGCACAGTGTGCTGTGTATCATGCAGGTATTTTGATTTTCTGAGCGGGTTCCTGCATAATTTTTTTTAGTGTTAAACTGGGTTGAATTCCAGTTACTGGGCCATTTGAGGGTTCTAATCTACGAATTCTAGAAGCTAAACGGCTTCTTTATGATGATAATATTGAGCTCTTGACTCTCTTGGCAGTAATGTTCCTCAACTCTCTGATTGTATAAAGTTCTGAGATTCAACTAACTCTCCTGATGCGTCCATTGACATACATGGGTAGAGTTATGGGATACTGGGGATACCATTGACATACATGGGTAGAGTTATGGGATACTGGTAATACCATTGACATACATGGGTAGAGTTATGGGATACTGGGGATACCATTGACATACATGGGTAGAGTTATGGGATACTGGGGATACCATTGACATACATGGGTAGAGTTATGGGATACTGGGGATACCATTGACATACATGGGTAGAGTTATGGGATACTGGGGATACCATTGACATACATGGGTAGAGTTATGGGATACTGGGGATACCATTGACATACATGGGTAGAGTTATGGGATACTGGGGATACCATTGACATACATGGGTATTGTTATGGGATACTGGGGATACCATTGACATACCTGGAGTTTACCTGGAGAGAGTTTCGGGGGTCAACGCCCCCGCGGCCCGGTCTGTGACCAGGCCTCCTGGTGGATCAGCGCCTGATCAACCAGGCTGTTGCTGCTGGCTGCACGCAAACCAACGTACGAGCCACAGCCCGGCTGATCAGGAACTGACTTTAGGTGCTTGTCCAGTGCCAGCTTGAAGACTGCCAGGGGTCTGTTGGTAATCCCCCTTATGTGTGCTGGGAGGCAGTTGAACAGTCTCGGGCCCCTGACACTTATTGTATGGTCTCTTAACGTGCTAGTGACACCCCTGCTTTTCATTGGGGGGATGGTGCATCGTCTGCCAAGTCTTTTGCTTTCGTAGTTAGTGATTTTCGTGTGCAAGTTCGGTACTAGTCCCTCTAGGATTTTCCAGGTGTATATAATCATGTATCTCTCCCTCCTGCGTTCCAGGGAATACAGGTTTAGAAACCTCAAGCGCTCCCAGTAATTGAGGTGTTTTATCTCCGTTATGCGCGCCGTGAAAGTTCTCTGTACATTTTCTAGGTCGGCAATTTCACCTGCCTTGAAAGGTGCTGTTAGAGTGCAGCAATATTCCAGCCTAGATAGAACAAGTGACCTGAAGAGTGTCATCATGGGCTTGGCCTCCCTAGTTTTGAAGGTTCTCATTATCCATCCTGTCATTTTTCTAGCAGATGCGATTGATACAATGTTATGGTCCTTGAAGGTGAGATCCTCCGACATAATCACTCCCAGGTCTTTGACGTTGGTGTTTCGCTCTATTTTGTGGCCAGAATTTGTTTTGTACTCTGATGAAGATTTAATTTCCTCATGTTTACCATATCTGAGTAATTGAAATTTCTCATCGTTGAACTTCATATTGTTTTCTGCAGGGGTAGAGTTATGGGATACTGGGGATACCATTGACATACATGGGTAGAGTTATGGGATACTGGGGATACCATTGACATGGGTAGAGTTATGGGATACTGGGGGATACCATTGACATACATGGGTAGAGTTATGGGATACTGGGGATACCATTGACATACATGGGTAGAGTTATGGGATACTGGGGATACCATTGACATACATGGGTAGAGTTATGGGATACTGGGGGATACCATTGACATGGGTAGAGTTATGGGATACTGGGGATACCATTGACATACATGGGTAGAGTTATGGGATACTGGGGATACCATTGACATACATGGGTAGAGTTATGGGATACTGGGGATACCATTGACATACATGGGTAGAGTTATGGGATACTGGGGATACCATTGACATACATGGGTAGAGTTATGGGATACTGGGGATACCATTGACATACATGGGTAGAGTTATGGGATACTGGGGATACCATTGACATACATGGGTATTGTTATGGGATACTGGGGATACCATTGACATGGGTAGAGTTATGGGATACTGGGGATACCATTGACATACATGGGTAGAGTTATGGGATACTGGGGATACCATTGACATACATGGGTAGAGTTATGGGATACTGGGGATACCATTGACATACATGGGTAGAGTTATGGGATACTGGGGATACCATTGACATACATGGGTAGAGTTATGGGATACTGGGGATACCATTGACATACATGGGTAGAGTTATGGGATACTGGGGATACCATTGACATACATGGGTAGAGTTATGGGATACTGGGGATACCATTGACATACATGGGTAGAGTTATGGGATACTGGGGGATACCATTGACATACATGGGTAAAGTTATGGGATACTGGGGATACCATTGACATACATGGGTATTGTTATGGGATACTGGGGGATACCATTGACATACATGGGTAGAGTTATGGGATACTGGGGGATACCATTGACATACATGGGTAGAGTTTATGGGTTTACTGGGGATACCATTGACATACATGGGTAGAGTTATGGGATACTGGGGATACCATTGACATACATGGGTAGAGTTATGGGATACTGGGGGATACCATTGACATACATGGGTAGAGTTATGGGATACTGGGGGATACCATTGACATACATGGGTAGAGTTATGGGATACTGGGGGATACCATTGACATACATGGGTAGAGTTATGGGATACTGGGGATACCATTGACATACATGGGTAGAGTTATGGGATACTGGGGGATACCATTCTCAGTTCACAGCGACTGTAATACATATACTTTGAAGTTAGTTATGATGGGTTATGTTAGTTTAGGTTAGATTTTATGAGTTTAGGGAATCTTACATAGCATGAAGATAAGATAAAATATGAAGTTTAAAAAATGGCTGTGACATCTTTACAAGACGGTAGCTGAGCAGAACTAGGAAGTGCTCACATGTGCACTTGTTACTGGTGAAACTTAGCTAGGTTGTGTAGTGAGACTTACCTCGTGAAGCCAGACAATCTTGTAAACCCTGGGGTTGGAGTTGATGGAACACTCGAAGTAGACATCATCTCCCTCCTCTATGTTGCTGAGGTTGAGTGATCGTCCCGGGTACACGCGAGCCACAGGTACGTCTGCCAACGAAGTATAACTCAGAAGTTATTGAACACTTGTAAACACAAGGAACAACAAGACTCGTACAACATCTTTGGATGATGCTATAAAGATCATCATCCTAAAAAATTAGTGAATAACTCCATATACAACTTGTAAATACGGATTTGAATACGTGGTAATTAGGATGCCATAAGGATAGAAGGTCTTGATATCTGGAACAACCCCAAGATGTAGCAAAACATCTCGAGACTATGGACTGCGATAATGTTGGAATCTAACTTATGTAACCTTTACATTATATTAAACACTAAGTGGCTGTAAAATGTATTAAATCCAACTCAGTCAAGTTTCATTCAGTCACCGAAATGTTAGGTACAACGATATGGGATCCTGCCCAGTTAACCCGGTGATTGTGTAAACTCGTATGATTAAATGTGAAGTTTGACTCCTGGGCGGTCCAAATTAAAAATTAGTGCTATGTAAATTTAAGATCTAGAAGATTTTACTGTGTTATACTGTATTATACTTATACTGTATTGATCACATATTGTGCAAGAAACTTCGTATATCCCACTAACCGTGTTGATAAAGGAATTAGTAATTAATGTTTCATAATGGAAATGTTTTTGAAAATAGTATTTATATGTTTTGAAGGCCTTTGGCAAGAGAAATGGATTTTCATTAAATGGTAAAGCCAATGTACTATTTATGGAATGTGTTTCCATTGGCAAGGCCCAGTAAAAGGTTCTTTTAACTGATTATTGTACCTTTGGACTCTTGATATCTCGGTCTAGAAAAAAGACTAAAATCTCCATCTCTATCTTAAATCTCTGGTTTACACAACAATCTTAAAAAACATCAACAGAAAAAATATTCCTTTAAACTCTCGTTTAATGGAATGAATACTAGTGTATATACGATCTTGCATTATAAGTCTTCCAATATACAGTAAATTTATATAACAAAAGTTACTAGACTATTGAGTTTATGCAGAAAATCGTCAGGGTTGTGGTCAACCAGATAAAGGCACAAAAACATCAACTTCGCAGAGCTTGGCGAAATATTTTTCAGTAGTTTCGTCTCAAGAATGACACAGAGATTGCTCAGTACCGAGATAAAATTTTATATAGACATCCATGCTTTTGAGCACAGAATTTACCATAATAAACTAACAGTCCACTACACTCAGATTCATTAACTCCATCAACGTTTTCTTAGTACTTGTCTAATTCTTTGTTGATGAAAGTTAGCAAATGTGGAACAAGGACTAAAGTAAACGCAGTAACATCAAAATTTAAAGTCATTTGGTACGTTTAAAATGCGGTGTCTCCAGAGGATCCATACTATTCTTGATGTAAGCATCTAAAACAATTACCAATCATTGGAGTTAGAAATTTGAGAAGCCTCTTTCATTAGGTATATGAAGCCAAACCATCTTGACTAATGATGTGTCTGGCAGGATTCCCAGGTTAATGCTCTTTAATCACCTCATGCAGATAACGCGAGGAGACCGACCTGGTTGAAAGCTGCCAAATTAGTTCATCGTTTCCCTCAACCAAGCTTATCAGTTGTTTGTTAAATTACTGTTAAGCTTATCAAGTTGAGGAGTCTTTGTTAGAGGTGCGTTTGTCTCCCTATCACAATGCCGTTCATTTTATTAATATAATCAGATCAGCCAGGCTGTGATGGATATGTGGGGCAGCGGGCCTCCAGCAACAACAGCCTGGTTGACCAGGCAAGCACCAGACGAGCCTGCCCATGGCCGGGCTCAGAGAGTAAATAAACTCTCGAAACTCTTCAAAAGGTATATCGTAGCATTCGATTTGTCTGCCTTCGTAATATGTAAGTTCTGGCACTTTATGAGGTCATGGTATGCTTTAATTAAACGCTGGAGACAGCACCGCTGGTTTTAATAATGACTCATACATCATTCCTTTGTAGATGTTAAACACTATAGGAGTTAAATCATCTTTCTTTTCAAGATTATAGAACCAATTTTCGAGATCCAAGTAATTAATGTCATCTTTAGTCGTAACAAAGCTGGACCCAAAGCCTGAGGCTGCCTGTTTTATCAACTAATTCTGTAATAGACAGATTTATAAAAAAAAAAATTCTGGGCAAGCCGGTTGGGACTGATCACTCTGTGCAATGAGATGGTCGAATTTTCTAACATAGCATCGTTCAATCTCACGTAATCACTTCTTAATTCCATGGTAATGTTTTCAAGTGAATGATCATACGAGTTTGGAGGAACTGCTCTGGTAAAGCTGTTGTTGTCTGTTGTTCATAGTAGTGAAGGATACCCATCTGTTATGTCTTAACATATCAGTTATTTAGGTTCGTATTGACTTAAAATATAATATTAAACATGAACACATCCGCTGCTCTAGAAAGAATAAAAAGACACAGTATCCTCACTGCAACAATACACAAATAACCCTCACTTATGACAACGTTTCGGTCCGAAACTTCGTCATAAGTTTGAGTCTCCAGCGTGCGAGTTGTGTGTTTACCGCTCTAGGTGTCAGTATGAATTTTGCAGCTTCTGTTAAAAAAAACTTAATGAAATGGAAGCTTAAAAAGATTGCAACATGGAGGAATCTAATGCTTTACCCGCTTAATATATCAATATATATGAGGGTGTAGTTGATGGTTCTGTGACTGAACAAATTGATCCCAGTTGCCTACTGTAAATCAGTAGAAAAATCTTAAGGGTATTAAGAATTTATATATTACCAAAAGAAGTCAAATGCAGTGGTAATTATCAGTTAAAATTATTACCTAAAGTAATAATAAATGATCATTTGAGCAGTATAGACATTGAAAAAATCAGTAACATTCAGTTGCTAGTAGTTTTATTAAAACAAAATAACTATTGAAAGGCAAAAGGTGAATAAATTAAAAAATTCTTGGCAACCAGCCCACAAGACCTATAACTAGGCACCTCTTCAAGGGGGGCTCCTTGGCGTGGTGAATAGGCTCTTGGTCTGAGGAATTAGACCTGTCGGTCTTCTTCCTCAGACCGAACCTAATTACCCCCCAATCTCCCCTCCCCTATCCCATCCTCCCCTTTTTCCTTTCCTCCTCCTCCCCACCCCTCCCTTCCTCTTTTTGGCCTTTGGGATTTCTCCCACAGGCGCGCTAGTTCCTAGGTAGGGGAAAGGATACCGGGGTCCATCCCATTCCGTTGAGGTTCTTGGCGGTGGCGTAGTTTGCCGTGGAATCTGGATCGCCTGGGGATGTCCCGATCCCTCTCCGGTATCCCGGAGTAGCTTTGGATGTCTTTCAGGCGACGGGTGTATCTCTGGAAGCCACCTTTCCGATTCCGGGGGTGGTGGCCGAAGTAGGGTATGGCACGGGTTCCATGCTGCATCTGCGCTACTAGCGGTGCTGAGGTCCTCTTGGGCGCGGAGGGAGATTTCCGGCCCTTTCATTCCTCCTGGGAACTATTCCTCCCCGCTTCCCCTTTCTTCTTCTTTTTTTTTATTTTTATTTTTTCTTCTTTTTTTTCTTAAAAACAAAAAGCAAAGGAGTAACCTAACCATGGAGAACCCAATCCATGAACCCACTACCCCCGGGCCCCTTCTTGATACCGCACCCCATTCTGACCCTTGTTTTTAGACCACTCTTCGTACACTCCTGATGCTCGTGTACCTCTTGCTGGTGCTGTTTCCTCACCCGCTTCAGGTACCGGGGCTTCGACTGACTCCTTCGATTTGTCTGAACTCAGCTCTCCTTTGACTATGCTTCCGGCTTCTCCCTCTACGGTACGGCAATTTTCGAATCGCCCACCCATTTCACGCCGGACCAACTCCGGTCCTACTCCTAAACGTCAACGTCAATCTCCTGATGATGCTCCTTCGTTACCTTCCCATTCTACTCGGAAAAGACCGACATGTCATGCACTCCCTCTCCATGCTCAGTTTCCGACCACACAATGGACTAAATTCTTTACTTTAAGACCGACTTCTTCTGCCTACCTTTCTGACCATAGTATTGGCAAAGCGCTCCTGCGTCATGTTGGTAGAGATATTTCATTTCATACTCTCAAGAGCGGTATGCGCATCGTCACTGTCCAGAATGCTACCCAAGCTCATGATCTTTCTCTCCTTTCGCATATAGATACTACTCCTATCACTATTGAAAAACATCTTTCTCTCAATTCTTGTAGTGGTACTGTCATTCTGCCCCATACCATAGTCCAACAGAATTTCCAGTCATGTGGCAATGACATTCTTGAACAGCTGGAACTCCAGGATCTCCCAATCCTCACAGTAGACACTTATGTCCTTCCTGCCCGTGGGCGGAGACGTTACCCTTGCAATGTAGCTCGTTTAACTTTTGACAGCCGAGAACTCCCGTCCTCTGTGTATGTCGCGGGACATCGGTTACAAGTTCTAAAGGTGATACCTACACTGCAACAGTGTAGAAATTGCTGGGGTTTTGGTCACCCAGCGAAATATTGCAGATCTATGGCCGAATGCCCAGTCTGTGGTGCTGACGACCATTCTAATACATCTTGCAGTCAACCTCCATCTTGCCTTAATTGTAATGAAGCTCACCCTTCGTACTCCTGCCTTTGCCAGGTCTACTTAAATGAACATAAAATCTGTTGCCTCAAAGAGGCAGAAGGTCTCCCTTATGCTATGGCAGTTACTCATCTCCGCCTCCAAGGGAGACTACCCCTTGTTTCTTATTCTCGTGTTTCAAAACATCCCCACACTTCTGGGGTCCCATCTTCTGCAGCCTCCTCTGTTGTTACCCCTCCCATAGCCACTCCGGAATCTAATCCTTTTGCTGTCCTTGGCTCTGACATCCCGACTACAACTCGGTCTGTTCTCACATCTTCGCGTCCTTCCTCACAAGCCCCAGTATCGACAAGACCTCGTGCGACACCTAATACCAATCGCCCCTGTACTTCTCAGAAGTCCAAAAAATCCACATTGCTCAAATCTTCTTTGCCCCTTCCTTCCCTTTTTCCACCTCTACACTTTACCTTTCCAGTCTCTGGGCCTAG